TATATATATATATATTGCGTCCATATATATATATATATAGATAGATAGATAGATAGATAGATAGATAGATAGATAGATAGATATAGAAATAGATATAGGGCAACATCAAGGATGACGGTCTTTGGCATTGAAAGCGGTTACGAGCAGCAGGCCTAGCTCTGAATGTCCTCTACACACTTCCCCCTAAGTCGCTCTTCATCTGGGCACCTTGGGTTTAGGGTTTAGGGTTCAGTGTTTAGTGTTTAGGGTTTAGGGGTTTAGGGTTTAGGGTTTAAGGGTTTAGGGTTTAGGGTTTAAGGGTTTAGGGTTCAGGGTTTAGGGTTGAAGCCTTACATACATACCGTTATGTAGACCAAGAGTCAGAAAAAAAACCCGAAATTGCCTGAGGCAAGGACATTGCCGGCTATCCCGGTGTTACGTAGGTAGGGGTGTACTAGTCTGGAGTTTACATTCTTCTCCCTTGTAGTTCCTCTTCGTGTTTAACCATTGTTATGTTAAGGATCCGAAAAGGTAACGCCAAAAGAAGGAACTACAATGGAGACTATATAGGTACTATAGGTAGATTGAGACCCTTTTGGGAAGGAAGAAACAAGAACCAGTGTGGAGTCCCTAAGGGTCCATGTACCCAAATAGTAAATAGTATATACATTGGCCCCAAAGTATCTATATAGGGACTACATTAAGGCCAAAGTATATACTATTTGGGTACATGGACCCTTGGGGAGTGGCAATTCTCTCAACCGAAGGATCCGGACCATGGCTCGGCTCTTCTCGATAGCCAGCCTGTAGTACTTGCAGCCGCCTAGGACAATTTTGGGGTTCAGGGTTTATAGGGTTTAGAGAATATAGGGTTTAGGGTTTAGGGTTTTAGGGTTAAGGGTTTAGGGTTCAGGGTTTTAGGGTCTAGGGTTTCGGGAACGTGAAACGAGCCACCACTAAAATCGACTTCTTCGTATCCGAGTACAGGCCTGATACGAGTCCTACCTTTGTCGATGACACAGTGGTTGAAGTATATTGGGAAGCCATATCGGAGGTAAGTGTACTACGTACAGATTGTTATATAGCTGCTAGCGCCGATCATGGGTACGTATGGGGTATGGAGCTACTTAGATTTCTACTCTTAACTGTCAAGTCTACGTCCAGGACCTGCGCGCACATGGACTTGGGTGGTGTTTGCCTGCGCATGGTCGACCATGCCCCCGGGCTTTGATTTGGAGTTTGGGAGGTTCAGGGGTGTAATTACAAGGGTTTAGGGTTTAGGACTAAGGAGATCGGATTCAAAACCCAACCACTCAATAGGTTAGAAGGGTACAGGGTTTACGGATAGGTGGCTATAGACTCCAAGATTACGATACGGGCTGTAGCAGTTCGGGTGTTAGTCCTTCGTGCTGTCTGCCCTTCAATACGAGATTTCTGAAGAAATCACACAACAAGTTTGTCTAATGAAAGCATACTCTCAGGCCTTGGATCAAAATTAATATAGCGGCCGAAATAATTACCAGTACTATTTGGGGGGGGCTCCTTATTCGAAATATAGTATACTATACCCCCAAAACCCTCTTCTAATTATTAAGGACCCTGCATTAGGCCTCAGCAGAATTGGGCCTGACCGGCCAACTACACCACTGCAAGTCGCTGCCGTGACTGGAGGCCCACCCCCGAGGTTCGTCAGTCGGTTAGAGGATAAATGTGATCCTCAAGGATGTGTGCACTGTGTGCATATATGTATGTGTATACATATCTCTGTGTGTGTGTATGTATGTATGTATGTATGTATGTATGTATGTATGTATGTATGTATGTATGTATGTTTGTTTGTATGTTTGTATGT